GTGACTTTACCGAAAAAAACTAAGAATATGAATACTTGCAGTCACGAAAGCTTCAAATCTAGAATTTTTGCAAAAATGTTCAGTTTACTGCGGGACTGTGAATTTTTAGTTCAACAGGATTTCTGCTCTGTAATTTACGTTCGAATTTGAATGGATATATGTTCCAAGAGTACAATTACATTGTATCGTTACATAAGCAACACGGCTCGATGTTCTGTTTTCAAGCTCTGGACTTAATTCCTGTGTGTAGCTACGACTCTTTCAAAGCAATGATGTATTGCATACTCGTACGTCATAAGGTCGGAATTTTTTTCCGTTTATCGGTGGAAAGATAAATATACCCGTAACAGGGAGAGGCTGGTGACTTATCGAATCTCGAAGTTAATCGTTAACCAACTTCTCAAAATCACAAACCTCATGCTATTGTGAATGCATTTTTTCAAGTTCTTTAAACAATTCCTGTAGTTCAATCTCACGTGTCATCAGCAAATTTGAGAGTTATTATTTAAACCAGTATTATTTCTATATTTGTTTCCCCAATACAAGCTTAATGAAATATCTGCCACTTTGAAAAACTGTAGTAAGAGCTTGCAACTTTTTTGACATGTACTTTTCTCTCTCTATTCGTGTAATCTGAGTCTGGATGTTCCACTTTGTAAATTGATTTATGTCAAAACAGGTTTTATTTAGGCCTCGGTGTGCGAGAGCTGGGATAACTGCATTTTGTTTTGCTCTTATCGACATCTACAAAGGCTATGTACAATGGTCATTCACATTCATTTCTCTTTTATAGAATCTGATTAATAGTACATGTTGTGTGCCACCTGAGGAAGAGACATCTTTCCGAAACCCTGTACTCCCAAAGTGGGTTGGCCTATATAATTCTGTTTCACACGTAGCAGGCTTTCGCGACCAATATACTCATGAGAGGTTTTTTTGGGTTAGATCACGTAAATAACAAAATATGTTGTTAAACTCAACACCACCCGACACAGCCGACTAGTAAGAAGTCTGGCTGTCGCCTGATAATGCTGGTTATAATAGACAGCGAAACGTCGTACTCGAATTGTAAATGTTGTGGATTTACTCTCCAACACATCGGTGTGCTGAAATAGTGACTAATTGGCATGTTTTGTTTACGTGACAAACATTACTAATTGGCTGTGGCGGGTTTAACGACAAATTTATATTCTGATTTGAAGCTTTCGTGACTGCAGGGATTCATATGCTTGGTTCTTTCGGTAAAGTCACGTAGAAGGGAAATAATAAAATAATATAAAACAATACGTCGTGAGAATTTTTATTGTTTTATATTTATATTATTTTATTATTTCCCTTCTACGTGGCTTTACCGAAAGAACCAAGAAAATGACAAATGTATAATTTGGTTATTCTGTTTCGAATGAGCATTGCTACTTTCCTCACCACCACTATCATCCTTACCACCACTATTTACCAATGTGTATCGTCATCCAATATCCATCGAACAGACGGAGCAAATATATCATCTGTTTTGAAGGTGCTACGTCGATTATATTCATTACATCACATCACGAGACAGTGGCAGCTTATGGAGGCCTTCAGTCCGGCAGTGGATAGATCAATGCTGATGATGAAGAACTGTACAATCGACCACGGTCAATTAAACACACTGTTCTTCTTGGTTCTTTCGGTAAAGTCACGTAGAATGGAAATAATAAAATAATACAAATAAAACATAATAAAATAATTCTCACGACGTTTCGGCCACAACGCAAGCAGCCGTCCTCAGGTGAAGACCAGGTCTGTGACTTTACCGAAAGAACCAAGAAGATGAATCCCTGCAGTCACGAAAGCTTTAAATCGAAATTTAAACACACTCTCCCGATTCTGGACGTCCACCCGTGACGCGTTCTATCCCTTAATGATGAAACAATTCACTTAATTAATGGCAAAAACGAATCGGCAAAGTAACACGTAAACTTACCAATTTAAACAATTAGCACACGTACTTGTGAATACATTCACCAACAGGTACCTTGCACCGTGAGTCAAGTGTTCTGCACGCATACAAGATGTGGTGCTGCGGATGAAGGCGACAGAGGGAATGGGATGATGGTAGAGGTGGAGGTAGATTTGCATAAGGGTGCGGGTTGGTCATCTCTGTCGCCCCGGAGTTCTTGGCGTGCTTGAACCCTCCCCTACGGGGTAGGGGTTGGCATCACCCTCCCCTCGACATTGATTGCTCTCCCAACAACCACTGGTGATTGTGAATGTTGTGGCTTTGCTCTACAACACACCGGAGTGCTCGGCGAGTAACGCATTGGCATGTTCTGTTTACGTGATAAGTATTTCACGCTGCACAGCTTAGAGTTGGTTTCTTGAAGTGTGACATCTGGAATTGCCCCCTTCATCTGAGAGGTGGTTTTATTCCAACGCACAAACAACAAACTCGAAATCTCTATTTGGAATTTAGCGCACTGTATACTTTCTCACGCAGAATTTGCATTCCAAAATATGGTTTGCAAATACGTCACGCAATTTATAAACACATCATTATCCATGCGTACATGTTGATTTTCGAGCTATTTTAATTTCCATTTGAGCACACAATAAAAATGCATAACTATAATCAATAAATAAAAAACTCAATCCGATGCAGATAAGCTATGGCAAATTCAAAATTGCATTCAGCAAAAGCCTCTACGTAACATTGTGAATCCGGGCAAGCATGAGGAGGTGTTCCGCTACCATTGAAATGGATTGCATGTTTAAAAATAGCCTAACATTTTTGTATTGTGTAAAACATTTTTTTTTTACCAGAAGCAAACACCACGGCTCTGACTGTCATCACTGCTTTCACAATACAATAGCAACAACAGTACCAATTTGGGTGCAAATTGTCCTTGGGTTACCATTCTCGTAAGTTTGTGTGCTGCTTTAAAGGACGTTGATGTTCTTTCACGACGAAGGGAACACGGAGCTGGGAAGAAACAAAAAACAGGCCGTATTCGTACAGGTTTCAAGTGTGTTCCCGTAAGGTTTTATACGCAGAACAGTCATGGGATGTACACAAGGTTTTATACACAGAACAGTCATGGGATGTACACAGACGAGTAGCAATCTCCTAAGCGACATTAGCGAGATATTGTTCGGCATCTGTAAATTGCTTGACTTGACGTGGTCTGTAGATATACACGAGCCAAAATGTGCACGCAAGAAACACTGAAAGGCAAATTTGAAACATCAGCCCCCTTGCACTTGAAGGCAAACAACACCGATGTGACCGAATAGTTAATGTGAAACCAGGCTTAAACAGGTATTATTCTTTGGTTCTTTCGGTAAAGTCACGTATGAAGATAAAAGAATAAATTAAATAATAGCATACGACGTTTCGATTGCAACACAAGCAATCATCATCAGGTATAATGAAATAGCAACAAAAAATCCAACCAGAAAACTATAGACAGACATATAAGCAGACAGATATCACCAAGATACATAGAGAGAGCAACACAGGTACAGAGAGGGAGATTGTCTCTATGGAGTGGCCTTACTATTACATTTATACCTGATGATGATTGCTTGTGTTGCAATCGAAACGTCGTATGCTATTATTTAATTTATTATTTTATCTTTATACGTGACTTTACCGAAAGAACCAAAGAATAATTCCTGCAGTCACGAAAGCTTCAAAATTAAGATTAAACAGGTATTTTTTTCCGAAAAAAAATTACCAAATTTTTTTCGTTATAATTTCAGTCAGTTTCTTTGACGTGAAAAGGGCAACCGAAAGAAAAGCCACATGTGTGTGCACGATGACATTGGTGAACACAGAATCATTTGAACACAGTCCTTACTTTCAGACACGTCGGTGACATGCCATATTTGATTAGATGCATTTAAATGGAGCTATCCACATGCTCTTGAAAGATGTTTCGAAACTGTCTTGTTTTTGAGAAAATTAGCGCTTTTCCGTTGTTTTCGGCAAATGATTAAGAAAACAAAGTTAGTGAACAGTTCTAACCGAATTGACCAACGCAACATTAAGATCGCACATCTGGTCATTTGAGGAATGTTTCAGCAACAGTTCATGAAGAGTGGCTTTCAATGACCGTGTAAATGAGCCACCACCCCCAGTGCAATCAAATGGCACTTTTAGAAAGCTAATGCAAGGCCAAACACGCTGATGCTATTTGATATTTGAAAGTACGTTTTGTCGCGTTATATTACAGCTCCACTGCGTTCAAAATTAAAACACATTCCTGCGGAGGGAGCTGGTAGGAACGTTGGGTTGCTCGGTCAATGGCCAGGGTCAACGGCGGCGTGGTGTATTCCGCAAATATGCCCGACTGTGAGGGCGGGCACAAGCCGGCATGAGTAGGTAAAACGTTGAGTTTTATAAGGGCACCACGGGGTGACCAGCCCCTCCCCACCCAGCCCCACCCCGCCCACCCCTACCTAGCCCCACCCAGTCCCTCCCCACCCAGCCCCTCCCTCCCCACCCAGCCCTTCCCTGCACGACGGACACAATCATCCCCTGTGGGCTGGTGCAACCGGGAGGTTCCTACCAGTATAACTAGCTACTTAAAAGCAAAATATTAGGCTGAATGGAGATTCTACAAAACATTTTCTTGTCAATTCCCAATCACACACTGCAGGACTTCCTTGTTATAATTGGGAAATGTACTGATTTATCACGGAAAGCCACACTGAGTCGTATAACTCTTTTTCAGGAGGGTCCTGGATTGAGTTTTTATTTTAAGACGTGTTTAGCCAATTCTTGACTGTTTATTATACACGTGGGAGGAGACCGGAGCACGCGGAGAAACGCCACGCATGCAAGGGGGCAACGCTCTATCCCCCGTGCAGATGGAAACAGATGGCGATTATTACTTGCTGTACCGCCTTCTCCTGCCTCGCCAGGGAATGGGACCTCAAGACATCTGTGTGCAATCCACCAACCCTCACTGCCTCCCCGGTGTTGAATCACAGGCCACAGACATGGGCACCACTGGCTCAGCTTCCTCCATTCCCTCATTTCCTTTATTCCAGAATGTCACATCTTACACACGTTTCATTACTGATACAATAACCAGATGCACTGGATGTGATGAGGACTGAGCAATTAATGTAAATCCTTATATTATACAGTATATACACACATCATTTAAGCTGCAATGCCCGTTCTCGTTACAGTATTCGCAGAAAGTTATCTCAACAACATTGCTCGCGTTCAATTGTATGCACCACTCTGGCACGCAGCGCCTCACATGTTGCTGTGAAGTGAAACAAGGATAATCAATAGGATATATACTTTATTAATTAGAGCGATAATGAAATATGAAATTATGAACATGAAATACGTGTATTGTGATTGAGGCAGCTTTTGAGTATCTCGACCGATAATTCAGAGTGATAATATGAAGTGAACATTTTTCATAGATTAGCAACACATTTGGATGAGTGATATTAAAGCACAAACCTTCGCAGCAAAATCTCGGGAATGGATGCATCGAAAATGCACATCGTGTGCACTTTATCACCGAGACATCAATTCACAACCACCGTCTGAAGTGAAGATACCCGCGAATATCCAGCCATTGCAATACAGCGTGTCTCAAAAAAATGTTAACACTTATATGGGCCTGTCGTTTTCAATGTAAAAAGAACGGATAATACACTGTAACATAACAAAAAACGTATGTTAATAGCTTCAAAAAGTAAGTCTCCACTTGTTTGCCATCATTGTCACATGCCTGGTGGTCTCCAGAGCCCGGAGGGACATTTCTTGTGGCCTTGTTGCAAATTCTCAGAATTGTTAACATTTTTTTGAAGCACCCTGTATAACGGAACGTTTGAAAAAAAAATCCCATGGCTGGTAAAAAGCTCAAGATCAAGAGGACACCAGGGCCTGTGTCATCGACGCCGCTGCTTTCTCCCAAGAGGAATCAACTCGACAGTTGCCATGCAAACCTCACAGGGCTGCACTTGCAAAAATCGCACCATCTGTCTGCGGCCTTCCCCTCGGCTGGATGCCACCCCAATGCCTGCATCGGTGACCTGCCCTCCCCTGTCCTGTGTCAACTGCCTCACAACTATAGCAAATCTCCTCTCTCTGATGACATCTGCAAATAATTTCGTTCCGTGCTCGCTTCTGAACTTCCAAGGCGCTCACCATATTCTGCCATGAAACAGCTAGCATTTTCAAATTGCCATCATTTCCCCACCGACAATGTTACGTTCACATCTGCTGATATGTTTTCTCCATTTTATTGTTGGCGTTGCTATAGTATTCGCAAGTGGACCACTGTACATCCACAGGTGCTCATGATTTCCCACTGAAAAGTGTCTTGTTCCGTGTTACTTAAAATTGGCACCCAGTCAGTTTAACATGCAACAACCCAGTCAGAATGAATACACTCACACCCCACTGTGCACAAACCTGCATCTCGTTGGTGAAAATGTGCAATTGCTATAAATCCACATTGATGTGAACGGCCTGATGGTAAGGACATCTAATTCAGCTCGGGGCATCAATCGCGAGAATGTCCCGATGCGTGCAGCCTTACGCGTCACACGTTCGTTTATCTGCAAATGTAACCCGCGAAGAATCAGTGGGCGTCGATGCAGAGACCGAGGCTGAGAAAACATTACAAAACGCCGTTAAAACTGACGCACGGTGTAACGAGCTGAATTTTAGTGCACATTCACCTGCTGCCCATTAACAAGTCTGGACGGAATCGAACATAAAAAGCTATGCACGCATCGCACCGTCTAATCACGCGTAATTCATCAAGATGTAACATTAAGCATAAATCAGTCCCAAGACTGACATCTTACCATGCAATAGTCCTACAAATGATTTTTTCTGCAGGAGATAAAGCCGCACTATTACCTCTCCCTGTACAGCGCTTCTCAAAGTAGCTTCCATTTCCGCCAAACATGCTTTCGTGCATTATTTTAAACAGGTTGTTGCCAATTTCTAGGGCTCCCTTAGAAATCATGTACATTACCGATACAAATTCCTGGGTTTTACAGATAGAAGAAAATGTAAACTAAAAGCCCATCAGGTCACAGTCAGAGGGCATTATGGGTAATGTCTACGTTGCCACCAAACTTCGCCAATTGCCTCTCCCTCTCGGCTGGATCCCGGACCAATTACAGTTAACATCCAATCGGCAAGATCCGTTCTTACAGTATCTCATCATCATCTGGGTTTTCATCTTCCCCTATGGTTGCTGACCTCTTGGGTGCCACTGCCACTGCATGTCTCGGTAACTGCGCTCCTTCACCCAGCAAATGAGTGGCACTCATCACAGTTTCCTCTCCTGACTACATCCCAGCACCGTGCTGAAACATTCTATTCCAAATGCATAGCAAAAAACCGCAAACGTACTGTTTTGAAAGAGCATCACAGCAAATATCACGTAAACATGGAAGGGCAAAGTTCAGATGCTGCCTGCAACCAATAAATGCAAGTCTTTGTCCTCAAGCTTTCAACAGTTGGTGAATTTAAATGTTTTATATGCATTTCTAAATACAAAGAGAAGCCTTATATTTATTTAACAAAATTTCATGAATTTTCAATGGAGGGAAAAGTTCAATTTTTGTTCGTTTTTAATGGAAAATACGATTGTGATAAAAAAATCTGATTGAAAAAAAAGTTAAATGTCAGTCCAGTTCTTATGAAGTCCTAATGGCTAAAAGAGTGATGAAATTGAGTTTTTTTTTCGTTTCACTTTAATCTGTAAATATTATTAACGTGATAATCTATGCAAGTCCAATCATTAACAGACTTAAAACAAACGGCTTTGTTTGTAAGCAATGAAAGCACAAACACAAAACAAGTTAGGAAAATTAACCTATATGATCGATTAGGGCTGGCATTATAGCTCAATGTGTTGTGCAATAGGGCACTCACTAGTCATGAGTTTCGAGCTCAAATCCTAGCCATGGTGGATTCAGCCACCACAGTCTGGAAAATGAAAAGACACTCTGGTCTGCTCATGGAGGAGACACACTTCACCCTCTACACTTGCAATTTTAAGTGTTGATTTGAAAATATTCTGTCCGGAAAAAAATAACAACAAAAAACAAAATCTCATTCAAATATTTTGAATTTCATCTCGGTATACACACACACACACGAGAGAGTATTTGTGTGGATCGTTTAAGGAAAATAATAGGAATCGCTGGCATGGGCACCGTCAAGATTAATGTTTGCGAGCAGCATCTGCTTCACAGCTCAATCTTGAACTGTTGAGACTTTGCCAGATGTCATCTAGTGAGTTGCGCCCAGTTCAACCAACATTAATACGGCTACACAATGCTAATTGTCAGATCGTAATGGGGTCAATTCCACGGAAACAAATTTACAGTAAAAATGTAAGCGTATCGGACATATTTCCGTGGAGGAAAAGCACAAGCGAAAAAAAATTACCACCGCAAATCAATACTGCATTTCAGCAAAATAACACGTTTAGAAAGTTAACACGGGAAAAATGGCCCATTTTCAAGAGTGCCCATATTTCCGTACTGTTCGTGGTAAAGGTGGCGAGTTGTTTCGGTTACAAACATCATGAGAAATTCTATCCAGTGCACGACCCTTTGTCAGCAAACCACCGCAGAAGTTACTCAAGGCCTATTTATACAAACTACGCGTGCACCATCTATATGCCCTGCAAAGACTATTTGCTGCAAGTGAAACCAAAAACTTAAGTCTAAGAGCTGACATTTTTTGCCAAATGAAGTGAAACAATTCAATGTGATTTTTTTTTTGCTCTCTGTGCAGTCATTGGTGATCAGGCTCGCCGCACATGAGAACCTTCTTTTAACGCCGCCTGGGTTTGAACCCAGACGACTGCACCTACGTAGCGTCAACCCTGCACTCTAGAAATAAAACGGTAGCGACGCTAAACACATGTGCTTATCGGGTCTCTATTCCCTGCGCGTGCACGTGATCAGGCGTGCACCGCACATATATGTGAGTATTCGCTTTCCCCTTTCGTTCAGTGCAGCGTTGAGAGTCGCAGGAATGAGCCGAATGGGAATGTCGGCATTTCGATGCCCGTCGTGCGCCGCTGAGCGTTACACGCGGACCAGCTCGTCCTCGCTGTCCTCGCTCAAGTACGCGTCTGTGTCCGCGTCCACCGAGGAGCGTCGCCCCCTGAAGCACGAGACAATCGTCCCCAGGACAAACACCTGCACACACGGTTCAGGGACATACACAAAAAGACAAAGATCACCCGCCGTAAGCCTACGCAAGCCGTTGGGGCAAGTGCTGTTAGCGAGCAACACCCATGAACGTCGGAACGGCACACGAGGGGGTGGGTGGCCAGCACCACTTCCAGGCGTCTGTCTCCCTCGTGGTGGTGTTTACACACCGCACAAGGTACCCATTTGAGGCCGAGTCGAGCCACGGGAGGCCCAGGACCAGTTCTCATATTCCTCACTGGTGTTGGCCGTAAGAGGCAATCGAACTTGGGTCGCCTGGGTCGCAGCATGGCGCGCTAACCGCGACACTGCCAGTCCCCACACATACACAGGCAGGAAAGCACAAATGCGCGTGTGCGGGATGCCCACATACACAGGGAGACACATGCACGCAGGGACGTGCACACCCAAAACACCTTGTTTGTGTTGCTCTTAAATAGGACGTGTGGTTCAGACGTCGCGTCCTGTTGGCAACTTAGTGCTGCTGGCGGAATTGTATTTAATTATTACAATGGTTCATGAGCACAGGGCCAAAAATGCGAGCAACAGACAGCGTTACAGAAGTTGCAATTGTTGAATTTAGCAATGTTATGAGAACTTGGGAATCGCCGCTATGGGAAGGAATTTCCAAGTGCAGCAGTGTGGGTCAAGAAGCAGAAAGAGAAGTGTTGTCACCTGCAGTGTGGTGAGTGGGTGGGTGGCTGAGTGTTGTTGTGACCTGCAGTGTGGTGGTTGAACACTATGAATGAGATGAAAAAGTCAGTCTGGAAGACCGAGGACTCAACATGGGTGTAGGAATCAATGAGTGAAGTTCCTAGGAACAATAACCATGGTAGTAGCAATATAAAAAAAATTTGGGGTGATATGTGAAAGGGAATTCTGCAAGTACATACGCATATGATTACATATAGAGCAAATGGCTTAATCATATGGCTCTGCATTTAAAACCATACAAATAATTTAATTTTCATCAAACATAAGCACTTCAACTGGAAGCCCTGAGCCAGTGGTGAACATTCTACATTTCAGTGAGTCTTGCCAAAGGACCACAACTGAATGTGATATTCTGTCTTTCATCCCTTTGTCAATCTGCTGCTGGATGAAGCCCCCCCCCACCACCACACCGTGTGTGTCATGGGTGTTGTAAAAGCATACTTCAGAACGCCGGTCAGTGAGGGTTGGTGGTGTGGTTGTGGGGTCGCGTAGGTCCCATTCCTGATATCACTCGCCACTCACCGTAAGCCATGGTCGGAAATCTAACCGAGGTCACCGAGTTGATAAAAACACTCCCCTGGACCACTGCGCAATAATAATAATTTTATATACAGCAAAGATGAACGATACACATAAAAAGCCACATTACAACGATATATCATGAAGATAACAAATATATATGAAGGATATCGTACAAGCCGGCTGAGACAGATGTACTGTACTGCGTATATTTTCAATGAAAGTGTCTCTCATTCTCGAGCGTACGGCATTCCTCATCTTTACTGCTGGTGCCAAGCAAGAGATGGAAATTCCACATTCCTAAAGTGGGGACCAATCTGCCCACAAGACAATGACTGTGGTTGTGGGGTAGTAGTAACTACTTGATTTTATCCCAGATGGAGAGTATTGCGTTGTGGCTATTATTTTATTTCATTAAATATTTCGTGTTCTTGATGTGAAAGCTTTAATTCACCTCTACCATTAAATTTCATAAATCGTATAAATTGAAGGCCTTTGGTTTTTGTTCATTAAAATATCACCATATGTTTCCGCAGATTTTTCTAATAATAAATTAAACGTCCGAGCCCTGTCACGTTACAAAGCCTCTTTCAATACAATTCCTGCTGACACATTACTTTTGTAATTAGCAGGTTTTTATATGGAAGTTTATTGCTCGCACAAAACCTATAATTTTTGTTTATGTTGAGGAAAAGGACCACGTATGGGATAAATTAAGCTGACGTGCAACCAGCCATTAGGTACTGTAACGGAATGATCGATGGGATTCCGGCGCGTCTGAGGTATCACAAATAATGAGTTACTCGCACAAATATGACTCGTTATTTTCCCAAGGAAGCCTTTGCTCTCGGGGCTCTGTGTCAATAAGGCCCTGCATGGGATCTTTGATTCATTACGTTTTTAATGTGCTTGCTTGTGGAGGACAACTGGAGCGCTGAGAGAAAACCGCACGTGTGCAAGGAGATGGCACACGTGCTCGTGCCTTGAAGTCTGCGTCCTACTTGCTGCACTGCATTCTGGGGGCACAGCGCTGCAACTGCAGGTGGGTATATCACACACTTGATCTCAGCTCGATCCCACCGGGGCCCCCGCCCCCTCCAAAGTGCATGACTAAATGCGAGGCTGACGTTTCGGGTCATATTCCATCCTCAGAGCTGGAGAGAGAGAGAGGGAAGTTTGGCTTACGTGATAAATGGGGAGATGGCACTCGATACGACTGGTTGCCTTGAAACAACTGGGACATGCTAAGACGCTTTATTGGTTTTAAATTAACAAAAATAATAATGACATTGTGACGGTCCCACCTGATGACGGAGACTTGTGTTGCCTAGGAAATGTCGTGATTTATTATTTTATTTCTATTATTTCCATTATTTTTATTATTTATTTTTACCTACGTGACTTTACCGAAAAAACCTAAGACTAATATATGAACTTGAAATTTACTGAATCAAGTGAGTAAATTTAGCTGTGACGGTCCCACCTGATGACGGAGACTTGTGTTGCCTCCGAAACGTCGTGATTTATTATTTTATTTCCATTATGACTTTTATTAACTTTTAATTTTATTTTTTACCTACGTGACTTTATCGAAAAAACCTAAGAGTATGAATCCTTGCAGTCACGAAAGCTTCAAATCTAGAATTGATCACGCGCCTGATTTTGCAGACAAGTCAACAGCTCAAGATGCGCGGAGCCAAGCTCAGGGCTGCTCGTAAGCCTGACCAAACAGATGTTTCTTGAAAGTGAGAGTGCATTTCATGTTGCGGATGTGCTAAGGGATATAGAGTGTTCCACACTGAGGGGGCGACAGCAGAGAACCGATACAATGCTGTGACAGCTCGAGACCTTGACACGGGAAGCTTTCTAAGAGAAGACACCGAACGTCAAACAAACCCATCGCAAGCCACAAACAAAAACGCCATCGACTCATTTACGTGACACCGTGTGTCGTTTTGTGCTAGGGAGCAGCCTCCGCTGCCGATGTTGCCCCTCGACATTTTAATTCCATGAGTCAGCCACCAAGCTTGGCGGTGGCCAGCAGAATGCAAATCTCCATTCGCTCAGTCGTGTTGCGGAAAATGCCACGTGCCACCGTGCCAGGATGTAGCAGACCGAAGCATTAATTAGCTCTGAAAACGGAGCACTCTGGAACGGCTCTCGCTTGCCACCCACGCAGATCTCATCCCTCAAGACGCGAGCGTTACGTTTCGCTGCGTGATGCACGGCGTGGGCACAGTCAAAGGAGCTGCGCTGCTGGGGGGCTGGTTTTGTGGCAGAAAAGGCGCGTGTACATTTTTTTTTTACGCGTGCGAATACCTTACGGCGTTAACATTTGTTCGGCCAAACGTGCGCGCGTTTCTGAAGTACAGCGATAAATATCTAAATGAAATCTAAATACGTACAATGTTATATATATAAATAATCATATATATAATAGCAATGCATGTTAAATATAAATAAATATATCGCTCTGATAACTCCTCATGTATAAGTGAAATTATACCATAATTGCTAAATACATAAAATCTGAATACATTTATTCATCCGAGCGATGAAAATGTATATACTCGAATTTAGAGAAGAGATCTGATTTGCATTGCCCTCCTGGTGAGTGTTGACCATGAATTGCAAGTGCTGCAGAGAAAGTATTTTCTTGCATTCATAGGTTTTTTTCCCCCGCTCTTCAACTAGAAATGTAAGTGCTAATTTACATTTCCATTTTATAACTTTTCAATAGCACGGGCAATTAATTTCATATTGAGTTTCACTGACGAGAGTGCGTATCTCATTCTCAGTCATTAATTAGGAATGAAACAGATGCAGAATATATAGTAATATAATTAATATTAAAGTACAAATAAATGCGGTACTTTGTGAATCCACTACTGGATGAGGACCTCCGCATGGGATTTGTAATCCTTTGGGGCATGAGGGTTATTTAGCCGTTGTTCAGGTTCCGGCTATCACTCATCACCAGAATTAGCCATCATTGTGAAATGAACTCAGCTCACCGAGTTAAGAGATTATTGTGCTCACCACTGCGTCACCACTCTACCCAGAAAACATATAAATAAATTTGCCAATGTATTACGTTTCTTTCCCATGCTTAAAAACAAGCAGACTCGATAAATATCCCAAAAGCAAACTACGGTTATAAAAAAAAAACATCCATGATGCCTTAATCTGGTATATGCATGCATGCCTGTGTACACTTACGTACAAAGTGTTAAAACGCTGCGCCGCACAGAGTTAAAGGCGGTGTGTTAAATGATGCAAGTGCATCTGTGTTGCCGCTTCGCCCTGCGCAGCTGTTTGGAGGTTAAAACCAGATAAGCAAAGTAATCCACAATGAATACCGTGAATATCTCTGGCATCTGCCAACCGCATTGCAAGTAGGACAATCTAAGCAATTAACTAAAACAAAACAAGTGCCGTGCAAATTTAAGATGATTGCGCTATTGGGATCGATACAAACAAAAGGCCTTAATCAGACAAGAGCAATTCACGATTGCAATTATCATAACAGGCATTGTTGCCTGAAATGTTGTCGAGCAAAGTATTAATACCAGAGAGAATTCTAATTCCATGTTGCCTCCACCACTATGCTTATGATTCATGCCATGTACAGCCTGTGTTCATCCAGAAATGCCTCTTCTCCAAAAGTCTGCAAAAATCTGCATTGAGATGTTCGGCCATCAGCTCATTCTGATTTGTTTTTGTCAGGGTTGTCTGACCATACTTCACCACGCTGG